ATCTTTTTTTTTTTTTATTTATTTTTTTTTCTTTCCAACGTTTATTTATTTTTGGGACAGAGAGAGACAGAGCATGAACAGGGGAGGGGCAGAGAGAGAGGGAGACACAGAATCAGAAACAGGCTCCAGGCTCCGAGCCATCAGCCCAGAGCCTGACGCGGGGCTCGAACTCACGGACCGCGAGATCGTGACCTGGCTGAAGTCGGACGCTTAACCGACTGCGCCACCCAGGCGCCCCAGCCAGTGAAATCTTAACATGTTAATTTAGTTATGTACTGATGAGGAACCTACAGTTGATTTCCTCTTGAATCAAAAAATTATAGTTGCTTTTGCATGGTACTCCATGTTCTACTGGCTTCCACCTTTACCTAAAGTGGAACCCCTCAAGGCACAACCACCTTTTTTTTTTCTGAACCAAATTTATATAATTGTGTAGAATTTTCATTTGTCACAGAAGATTATTGACAATTTGAGAGCAGAAACTTTATCTTTTTTTTTCCTGTATAATACTGGGAAGCTTAATAAGTACTTTTGGAGAATACTGATACATATGCCAGTGGGCCTATTCTTGCTGCTTCTTACCCTCCCAGAATCAGCCAGAGCTTCGAAACCAGTTAAAAGTAAATAATCCAGATCTAAGTTTCTTCTCTTACCCCAAAAGTGTCCATAAAAAAAGCCCGTTCAGTAGTCTCAATCACAGATGACAGCTAGATGGTTTGCGTGTGGCCACTTCCCCATCATTTATGTCTGTGGCAAACTACTAATTTCAGGTTGTTTTTAGGCATGACCTCGGTGTAGCACTGCAGGTAGCTATTACCTGTTGAGCACAATTGAGCATAATTGGTAAATGATATGGAACCTTTCTGCTATCCTTTTCCTAAACCAATAGTTCCTGAATTAAGTTGTACATCAGAATCTCCTGACATACTTTTATTCAATAGATTCTCTAGGTTTCACTGTGAACTCTTGAGTCAGGATTTTCAAGAATGGAATAGAATTAATTGGTCCTTATAAAGTGGTTTGTAGACTGACTTTGGTGACCAGACAGGTAATTTTTATTTTGTTAAACAGCTATAGCAGTGGGAGACTACAGCTTTCCATCTTTTCATTGGCAGTACAGTAGGACATTCCTCTGGTAATCGGTACATTCTGATATGTTTACTTTTTAGGGATATGGTAGGATCTCTTGCTTTGAATTACACCAGGCAAAGCACATGAATCAAATGCCCAAGATAAAGATACAGGATCCAGAGAGGTGGCATCTTGACTTTCTAAATATAACTGAGTTTAAATTTAAAGCCTCAAAATACTTCAGCCCTCTCTGAAAGCTTATTCTCTCTCTGTTTAGTGAATACCTTTAAGAGTTTAAAATAGAAAGGCTCAGCATTTTTAGACTGAACAATCTTTCGAATTTTTCATATTTCATGTACATTCAATAAAAATGGTTTAAACATACAACATTTAATATCATATGCTTTTGTCATTATCAGAAAACCAAATCTATAAATTGGGAAAAAGTTTTTTATTAGATCGCATAATTTGGTTTTGAGACTGGAAATTGTGATTAAGTTATTGAGCAAAGTAGAGTGATTGAAGCTTCAGGATTATCCAGTAAGTTAATGACAGACCCAGAAATAGAATCCTGTTTTACTTGCTTGGGTTATGATTTAGTTTGAAGAGGGTGGCCTGTGATCTGTTTGTATAAATTGCAGGAAGTAAGGTTTGGTGTTTGGAAGAAGCTATAGCTCTGTGATGTTTGGCCAAGAAGCTCCTCTCCCCAACATTTACCACCTGTTTGACACCAGACCTAAACTGTGGTGGAGAGAGAGACAGGTCAGACTTCTTAGTCTTAAAATAGTCTTAAAAAGCCAATGCTGATTGTTGGTTGGCATGAATTTTTAATCTTCTGTTATTAGAGAATAACAGGACCTGGCCTTGGTTTTGTTTTAGGAGAAGGGAGGTATGACCTAAGTAGTTGATTTGTAGATACTAGTAGAATGGTTGTCTGTGGAATTTAGTATAACACTTTTTTTTATGAACCATACGTGTATTTTCATTAAACATGTTTAATTAATAGATGGTATAGTTTGGAAATAGTAGAGCCCACCAGAAAACAAACTTTCCTGAACCACTAATGGTTCAGGGGGTTATAGATTTGAAAAGAATTGCTATTGTAGTGTTGCCTTCTGGTGAAGTCATTACTTTTACTCTCCCCTTCCTGTTCTAGTTTGGGAGGTTGAGGTGGCTCCTGATGTACTAGCCAGGGAAGCAGGAGCTGAACAGAAAAAGAACATTTGCCTGTGATTGAGTTCTAAATTTTTTTTTAAGCCTTATAGAGCTAGAATTCATATATTGTACAGTTCACCTATTTAAAGTGTGAAACATTGTTTTTTAATGTATTCACAGAGTTGTGAAACTATTAACTTCAGTCTAATTTTAGAACATTTTCCTCTTCCTCTGAAAGAAAACCCATACCCAGTGGCTTTTACTCCCCTACCCATCAACCCTAAGAAACTACTAATCTAATTTAAAGTTTTTTTAATGTTTATTTTTTTGAGAGAGAGCAAGAGAGAGGGAGAGAGTGCACTAGCAGGGGAGGGGCAGAGAGAGAGAGGGAGACACAGAATTTGAAACCGACTCCAGGCTCTGAGCTGTCAGCACAGAGCCCAACAGGGGGCTCGAACCCACAAACTGCGAGATCATGACCTGAGCCAAAGTTGGACGTTTAAAGGACTGAGCCACCCAGGCGCCCTGAGAAACTACTAATCTATAGTCTAATAACGACTAATCCATAGTCTATCAATTACTAATAGTAATTTATTAATAATTATTAATAGTAATTAATAGCAATTATTGATATAACTACTAATCCATAGTCTAACTAACATGAGTTTGCCTGTTGATGTAAATGAAATCATGTAGTCTTGTGACTGGCTTCTTAGCATGTTTTTGAGGCTCATAACATGTTATAGCATGTACATCGTTCCTTTTTATTGCCAACTATTCCACTGTATGGATATAGCACATCTTATTTACCCATTCATTAGCTGATGGGCATATGGATTGTTTTCGCTTTTTTGCTATTATGATTTAATGCTACTAAGAACGTTTGTATACAGATTTTTCTGTGAATGTATGTTTTCATTTTTTAACTATATATCTCAGGAGTGGAATGGCCGTGTCATATGGTAATTTGGTGTTTAACTTTTCAGTAAACTGCTAAACTGTTTTCTGAAGTGGCTGCACTATTTTACATTTCCACTAGTAATATTTAAGTTTCAATTTCTCCATGTCTTTGAACACTTGCTATTGTCTATTTTTTTAATTGTAGTTATCCTAGTGGGTGTGAAGTGGTATCTCATTGTGGTTTTGATTTGCATTTCCTTGCTGACTAATCTTTTCATGTGCTTATTGGCCATTTGTAGATCTTTGTAACTTTTATCTTGCCCATTTTTTTAAAATACTGTTTGTTTATTTAGTTATTTATTTTAGAGAGCGTGTGGGAGAGGGGCGGGGAGGGCAGGGAGAGAATCTTAAGCATGTTTCATGCTGAGCGTGGAGCCCAACACGAAGCTTGATCCCACAACACTGGAATCATGACCTGAGCTGAAATCAAGAGTTGGATGCTCAACCAACTGAGCCACCCAGGTGCACTGATCTTAGCCATGCTTTGCAGTCAAATACTCTGCCGATGAGCTGTGTATCCAGATCTTTGCCAATTTTTAGATTTTTTTTTAATGTTTGTTTATTGTTGACAGAGACACAGAGCATCAATGGGGAGGGGCAGAGAGAGGGAGACACAGAATCTGAAGCAGGCTCCAGGCTCCGAGCTGTTAAGCACAGAGCCCGATGTGGGGCCCGAACTCACGGACCGTGAGATCATTACCTGATCTGAAGTCGGAGGCTTAACTGACTGAGCCACCCAGGCATCCCTATATTGAGTTATCTTTTTATTATTGAGTTTTGAAGATTCTTCATATATTCTGGATACTTGGTCTTCTTACTGAGGATTGGTCCTAAATTACTTGCCTTGAGGTAGGGAGAAGTATTTGATGGATACAAAGACCATAGTTAAAAGGTCTGGTGAATTTTCATTCAGATCTTTTTTTTATTAGAGAGAGAGAGAGAGAGAGAGAGAGAGAAAACACGCACGTGCACACACATGGATGGGGGAGAGGGGCAGGGGGAGAGAGAATCCCAAGCAGGCTCCAAAACAGGATAATGGGGGATATAGTGTGATGAACATTCTGACATATTCTTCACCCTTCCTGATTTCTTAGTCTGTTCTTCTCTGCTCTTACTGCTTGACCTTATTGCACTTTCCATTTACTTTCATTTTATACAATTTGTGGCTAAACTTGTATTTCTCTCTCCTAATTCTTAACCCTTTTGCAGTCTATTTTTTGTTTTCCCTAGGCTACAAAACCTACCCTCTTTAGTGTTCATGATATTGTATTAAAAGCCCGTGTTTTCTGTGTATGTCCATCTTAATTGACATGTAATAATAACATTGTTGCCTTTCTGTGCTTTAAAATCACTTGCAGCCATCTCCAGTACAATTTTCCCAAGTTTTTTTTTTTTTTTTAATTAGTGCCTCTTCTCTTAATTATCTATTAAAGTTCTCCAAAGTTAAGGTTGGCCTCTCGTCTTTCTTTAATATTCCTGTGGTGAATCCATCATTCTCACATGATTTTAATTGCTTTCTAAGAGTATAGGACTCAGATCTCACTTTTTTAGCTCAAGCTGTGCCACTGCCTTCAGGTTTAGCTAGTGGAGCTGAGATGAGCAGCTGATTGCTACTCAGCAGGATTCTTTTCCCTTTACTCCTTCCTCTGGCAGATTTCTTCTCTTCAGGCTGATTAAGAGAGGTTATTTCCTTGACTGCTTTAATAATTACCTGTGATTAATGGTATAACAAGTCACAATGCTTAGTTAAGTAACATGAGTCAAAGGGGTTGTTCCTTCATGGGTGCTAGTGAATTTTATACTTTGAAATCTTTTGAAAGATAGGTCTGAGTTAGGAAATAAGAAAAAGAGAAGGAATAGTCTCTTACCTCTAGTGCTGTAGCATTTATTTTGAACAAACTTTTAATTCTTCTAATATTATGCCTATGCTTCCATTCAAGCTGTGCTCACAGGAACTGATGCATGAATCTTCTCTTTTGTGGAGATGAAGAAATTAAGCTTAGAGAAGTTAACAATATACCAAAGGTCACAGTTGGGATTCCAATCTAGGTCTTGACTTAATTTGTAAACTATAAGGCATTATATCCCTGTGTCGGTGGGAGAAAGGAAAATAAGAATTAAGATAATTATTTCGGAGCTTTTTCAAAATACTTAGTCCCATTTCACCTACTGCTCCCAAATAATGCATTATTATACTACTTTTAGTTTGTTAAACATTTGCTTCCTAAGTGTGAATAGTTTATAACTATTTATAGTTACATAAAAACTATATGTAGTTTCTATGTAACTATATATAGTTATATATATAATCAATATTTATATATAAATAAAATAATTTTATTTTATTAAAAAAATTTTTTTTAAGTAATCTCTGTGCCCACTGTGTGGCTTGAATTCATGACCTCGAGATCAAGTCACATGCTCTACTGACTGAGCCAGGCAAGTGCCTCTGTAACTCAATTTAATATACTTAATTAATTAATACTTAATTAATATACAATTTAACACTGCTTGTGTTAAAAGGAATTCCATATTCTTGTGTTGCTAATGGTATGTAGTACAGTAGCTTCTACTGGAGTATACTCATCAAATCAAATGACTGGTTTTTACTACCATTCTGGTAGTGTCATTCTGCACAGACTTTCTTGCCTGTTGGGTTTTAAAGCATTTGGAGAAAATTCTAGGTACTTTTGACACCACCTTAAACTGTATAAATTATGGATGTAGTTGAATTAGTTAATACAATTATTCAACTATAGTTGGCTTCAGAAATATGAGCTTATAATTCAGAGGACACTGAGACTTTCCTGACTGAACTGTGAACCTTAACCTTCTTTTGTGAGATTTCCGTGTTGCTGATCATTTGCTAGGTAGGGAGAAGATTGGCAGAACCCCAGCCTGGAGTTCACCATTTAGGAGCAGTTATCTGGATTAAAAAGGCAAAAAACTGAAACTAAGGCATTGAAGCTAGAGCAGATTAGAAAGATATCTAGGAGCTAGAGTTGGTAATTGGTAACCCATTGGGGATCCTAAAGGTGTTGATGTTTGGGGGACTCAAAATATAAGATCCTGTTCCCTTGCCTGATTTCTGAACTGAGGAGTTTAAACAAGAACAGACAGTTGAAAAAATAAAATATTACTGCTTTTAAAATTGGGTTTTCTTTTTTTTTTTTTTTTTTACAAACTTTGTGCTAGTTTTGTACAACTATCATTGCTGTCTAGTGCCAGAACACTTTTCATCATCATTCCAAAAAAACCTGGTAGCAGTCCGTCTGCATCCCCCCCCCCCCCCCCCCCCCCCCCCCCCCCCCCCCATCTTACGGTCACTACTAATTGCTTTCCAAATATGTGGCCTTTTGTGTCTGACTTCTTTCACTTAGCATCCATGTTGTAGCATGTTACAGATTATCATTCCTTTTTATGGCTGAATAATATTGTATATTGTATGGATATTGTGTAGATATGCCACATTTTGTTTATCCATCAGTTGAGCATTTGTTTCATTTCTGTTTTTTTGCTATTATAAATAATATTGCTATGAACATTTGTATGCAAGTTTTTGTGAACATGTTTTAAATTCTTTTGGGATGTGCACATACCAATCTGTGTGTGTGTGTGTGTGTGTGTGTGTGTGTGTGTGTGTCTGTCCATCTGTCCCAAAGAGGATTTTTTATATAGACATACACACATACATACATGTCTAGGATTGAATTGCTGGTTCATATGGTAACTTTTCGAGGAGTTACCTTTGTTTTTGCTAAAGCTGATATTGTAGACTACTGTAGAATGTGGTTTAGATTTAAAAACCAAATGGTCTAGCTCACTCTCCACATTCTTTTATCCCCACTGACCTAATTTAGACCATGGGACAGCCCACCTGGTATCTAGATTGTTAGGGTCAGCAGAGCAGGTACACCCAGATCACTGCCAGTAGAGTCCTGGATGTAGAGTCCTGGAGTTATCTCTACCTAGTAACCAAGTTACTTACCTTTTTGGTGAGGAGTGGGCTAAGAGCCCAGGAGTGTTTAGAGAAGTCAGTCATTCCTCATAGAAATCAAGAGTTGGAAAGAAGTGTTCTGCTCTAACAAAGGCAAAGAAAGGAGTTAGGCTAGAAGGCTATTCTTAGATAATAGGATTGTGTCATTTTATGATATGAAATACATTAAAGAAAGATGATGAATTTTGTTTTGGAAATGACAGATTTCGGTTTTCCAGGATAGAATATTATTAGATATTTATGTGAAGATTAGGAGATTGATCCCTGCTAGAGATACAGATTTGAGATTCATACTGTAATTGAAATACAGGATAGTTAAATCACCCATAAAGTGAAACAGTTAAGTGTCTAGTAGTTACCATATCTGGAAGTCTTGGAGGTTTTGATTCTGCCTACTGATGTTTCAACTGTATCTTATTCTGAGTGATTTGTTTTCTTCTATGTTTTGTGACTTTTTTCCCTCCCTCCTTCTGGGTTTTGTGATTTTCTGTTGTGAATTTATTTATTTTGGAACCTTGCCTGTGGAAATTCTTCTAGGCCTAGATCAAAGGCAGATTCCCCAGAGAGGATTTGGATTTGCTTTTCTCAAGGATGGGTGGGGAACATTACCATCCTAGGACTACCCTAAAGAAAATTTTAAGTGTGAAGCTTTTTAAACCATAATCTAGTGAGAGTCAGCTTATGGTTATGAATATCAGAGGAGATACTGTTTTATTGCTATCATAGCCGCCCCCCATGTCCTCCTTGGCACTCAGTGCCAAGAAACCATTTTCCTTGCTACTATTCTATTGGGTAACACCTGGACTTTGCTGCTTGTACCTTGGGTCCCGTTAGGCCTTGTAATTGCAAGCTGAAATTCATAGGGTTTGGCAAAATGCCTTGAAGGTGAATGAAAGCTGGTTTCAGTACTCTGTATACTTTAGCTTCTCTTTTGTACTTAGTGTTTGGCAGGGTTATTGATTAATTTATAAAAGATTTTAAAAAGATTTTATCCATTGTTTTTAATTTTCAGTGGCATGTTGATTAAGCTATCTAGTCTGTCATTCTGCCAGAAAGAGAAGTGCCTTGTCTCTGTCCAGTGTGTGCGGGAACAATTAGATGCAGGGAGTTCAGTCAGCCTCTGGATTAAAGGTTATAAACTTGGGACAAAATCTGATGTTTTCTTTGGTCCACATAGTGTTAAGAAAATAAAAATCAGGAGATTATAAATAAAATTTTGGATATCTTGCTTCTCTACAAAAATTAGTTCTTAGAGGGGCACCTAGCTGGCTCATTTGGAAGAGCATGCAACAACTCTTGATCTTGAGGTTGTGAGTTCAAGCCCCACGTTGTGTGTAGAGATTTAAAAAAATATAAAATCTTAAAAAAATAAAAATTATTTCTTAGAATACTGGGCTTGCAGTCCTGCTTAACAGCAATTGGCTGGAACTGGGAATAGTAGCTGATCCATCCCCTGCAGCATGAACATGTTTTCTTTAGTTGCACACAGTGTCTACTATGTGTGCAGTGTATTCATGTGTATATGCTTATATCCATTCCAGCTTCTCTCATTCATGTTACCTGTAAACACTTGTGGATCATCCTTTTGCCAATTAGTAGTGCTAATAGAGACTTTTACATCTGCTCATTAATTTATTTAATCTAACAACAAACTTGCAGTTTATCCCTGATGAGTAAATAAAATTACATAGATGGTATTTACCCCATGTTACAGGTGAAGAATCTGAGGTTCAGTGAGGTTACATAAATTCTTCAAAGTTTCACAGTATCACAGTAGAATTTGAACCTGGAACTTCTTACTCCAAACTCCTTTGTTCAAATGTTATTATTAACTCTTTTTTTTTAAATAATGGAACCATTCTTCAGATGAAGTCTTAGTGAAGTCTGGTGTATAAAACCAGGAAAGATAGCACTGCTTTGATTGAAGAGTAGATAGAGTGGGCAACAGTTATGTGGGGATGGGAACCTGCATACTCAGCTCTTTGGTCTCCTCTAGACACCTCTCTGCAATCCATGGGATTCTACTAAATAGTTTGGACGCAGTCTCTGTATATCATAAGCATAACAATTTGCTAAATTTTGAGTTTTCAGCTCCTTTGGATGTCACAATGTATCTGTTTCTCTTATTCTCTGGTATGTTTGTCTTCTTCAGTATAATTCCTCTTATCATTTAATAGCATTTTTGATTTATATGGGTATTCAGATAGTGGTGAATGTTTTAGCCTTCTATTTGTTTTCAGAGTGTTTTAATTAGAAATGAGTCTTATTTACAGTTTAATTTACTTTGGAGCTTCTAATAACTAACTCTTCTTTACTTTTCAGATTCTCTTTGTGGCCAGATGGGTTTGTATGGACAAGCTTGTCCATCTGTAACTTCATTAAGGTGAGTACTCTTTTTTTTCCTTATTGGAACATGTAACATTTTAAAAGTTATGCTGGTCAGATCATATTAGGATGAATTCAAGGTGAGGTTTGTAATAAAATACTGATAGTTTTGTCAGACTATGCTATCTGATGGGTTGGGAGATATTTTTGCTCACAGAGACATTTGTGATAATGGGATTTGGGTCTTAATTTCCATTTAGTGAATTTACGTATGTTCTTGTATATGGAGTAACAAAATTTTTATACTTGTCATTCCTTTTAAAAAAAAGGATTCTGCTTTCTACTTGTTTTAATTAGAAAATACCCAGTAAATTTTGATTGCCTTTGTGTAGCAGATTAAATAAGACTCAGTGCTAGTTTTTATCTCTTTGTAAATGATGATGTAAACATGACACCTTGATGATCCTCATTTGCAATAAATAAAGTGTAAAAAGTAGGAGCTAAGTTACATACAACCTAGTAGTCTTAGATTTTTTTTGAAGTTGCTAAGTCCTTTCTACAAATTAAATCTTATGTGAAATCCAGTGAATAAAACAGATATATACAGGACTTTTTTCTGTTTGCTTAGGCTTTCATGTTCTACCCCCACAGTTGCCCCTGAGGGGTTGTTGCAGGTCCCAGAGAACAGTCTGAAAAAATAACCTAAGTCTAATCTGTTAATTAAAATCTTTCAGACTAGCGTATGAAGTGTTGATGGAAGCATCATTTAACTACTTGCAACTGCTTCAACTAGTGCATCATTTATTCAGCATATGAGCACCTAATATGTTGTCAAGCACTATTCTCAATGCTAGGGCTGTAACAGTGAACGTAACAGATCAAAATCCTATAATCTGGAGCTACCTTCTGGTGAAGGGACAATTAATAAACAAGAAGTATCTGTTGTTATATATGGTGCTGAAGTGAGCACAAAAAGTATGTTAGTGATAAGGACTAAGGTAAAAAATAAAATAGAGAAAGGGAATGGGAAATACAGGGGTGTGTGTTATTTTTAGATAGGGTAGCCAAGGAAACCTTTACTGAAATGGTGACAGTTGAAGACCTGAAAGAGAGATGGACTCTTCCACTTTGGGTATGTGGAATATGAGCATTCCAGGCAGAGGGAATCCAGGAACTGGTAGAGCAGGAGACTTGCCTTGTGTGTTGGAGGAACAGTGAGGAAGTCAGTGTGGCTAAAATAGAGTAAGTGATGAGAGTTGGGATTGCTCAGTTTTGGAGGGCAGAAGGAGAGAAAGGAGGGATAAAAAATTATTAGAGTGATGAATGTGAATTCAAGGAATCCTTGGCTTGAAAGCAGTTTTGATTGTCTAGAATGCCACAGAAGAAAAATGAAGTTGCATTTTTATGTTCTTGAATTTTCAGCCGGTCAGGGATGGCTATCCTTTGTCCTCAGTTAGGAAAGCTTTAATCTTTGCCATTATGGCACCTCTTTCCCTTAGAATGCATCTCCAGCTTGAGGAAATAGATGGAGAGGTTTGCTTTTCTACTTTGTGTGTCCTCTGCCCCTACCTCCAAACAAGGGACACCTATGTAGCTCTGAATAGAACCTTTTAAAAAAGACTATTATCGTTTCTTTAATTCCCAAAGCTCCTGTGGAACTAATTGACCTAATAGTGATTACTGCCCAGTATGATGGGAGGAATCATTTTACCCTTTTTTTGAATGTTTAAAACTTTGGATATGATCATATTGGGATATTTTTCAGACTTTGATCTTCTGTTGATTAGACTTCCTGAAAGTAATTTTAGTTGTGGAATATGCTGAAATAATCCTATACTAAAGTCATGGACTGAGATTATAAACCCCTTTATTTGAGTTTTTATGTTAAGGTTTAAGCCTGCATGTGACATTGGGTTAGGAATAATGTATATCTAACTTTTGTGCTTGGTAGAATTATAGAATTGGAAGGGATGATGAAAGAAAAGAGATAACCTTGAGTTATTTGATAATTTGGTAATTTGTAACACTGACAATTCTTGTGCATAATATTCTAGAATCTTTTTTGAACATATAGCTATAAATTTAGCATTAGGACTCTGGTGTCTGAGTTGGGTTATTTGGTAGTTTTATATACAGCTTTCATTTCTGTTAATATTCTGCATGGTCCATCTACGAAGCAGAGAGTTCCTAGTCTTAAATGTATGGGTAGAAAACCGTCGTTTGTCATTGATTTTTTTGTAACTGGAGGCAAGCCTTGAGTTTGATACAAGGAAGAGAAAAGAATGACTATTCTTTGATGGTGGTGGTGGGATAGAAACTGGATTACTTAAAACCATAAAAATTTTAGTCTGCTTTCCCATAGTCTTCCCCAAACCAGAAATGACCTCCCCAGTGACACAATCCAAATAGGAATAGACAGAACTCTTAACTCAAATGTACTGATAAGCATACTTTACTTGTATGTACTACCTTTATATGTATCTTGGGTTGTACTATCTGTATATCTAGAAAATGGCTAGCTTCAAAATAGGAAGTATATGAGTTGGTGGTGAAGAGCTGGATATGTGGCTGAGAATGAGAAAATGGGTAGGTAGGTAGGGATTTGTAGGCATAGGTGAGAGTGGGAGTGGACCTTTTAGTGTAAATGAAGGTAGGGGCTGAAATGAAAGTATGTGATAATTAAAAATCTGTTGGGTAGGAAAGGGTAGTAAATGGATTATGCCTCACTACCTTAAATATTTAGGCTAATAAACAAGTTAAGTATTGTTTTGGTAGATATTCAGTATTTAATCTGAATATGTTAGGATTAATTTTTAAATTGAACTTGTATTTTATGTATTAAAATAACACATTGTAGAAAATTTGGGAAGACAGAGAGAGATGGCCATTTTTAATGTCTTCGTATCATACAGTTCTATACCAGTAGGTGTTAATGTGTGAATTAGAAAAAGACATCCCATATTTTCTGTAAAAGAATGATTGCAAAAAATTTTGTAGTGATAGGTGTCGCAGACTGTGAGTCTGGAGTTCTCTCTTGTCCAGCAATAGAGCAGACGCAGAATTGAATATGAGAGAGGCAAATGTCTGGGAGGAGACAGGAGCCCCAAATAGGGGTTTCTGCTCCAAATTTATTGAGCTCACAAGATATTACCCACGTGGTGAACGTGAGGAAAACAAGATCTTATATATGTGAATGTGGAGAAAACAATCAGATAGTAATCATTAACTTGTATGTGTAAAAAGCAAAGGGTCTGGGGGGCAAATGGAGTTTCTGATCAAAGTACAATAGTACATTGGTGTCAGATGGAAAGTAGTTTTACTTATGATCCTGTTACAATATTTCACTAGCTAACCTTGGGCGTTTTCACCCCCATGGTGGCAGCTTTCAGCCCTAAGCTTTTTTTCCTAACCCATTTATGTAAATAGAACCTATTTCCCTACAATAGCAAGGTATACTCTTTAATTTTGACCAAGTTGGTTTTAATTAACACTTTGTTTTTGTTTGCTTGTTAGTATAGGTAGCATTGAATATTTGCAAGTTACTGTAACAACACTGTATTCTGTATAATGAGCCTTTTTTTTTTTTTTTTTTTTTTTTTTTTTTTTTTCCCCTTAAATCAGCGTGCTGTCAGGGGCAGAAACCACACCACTTATTTGTACAGAGATACCTTAACAGAATGTTAACTAGGTAACAGAAAGGATAAAAATAAAACTCTAAGGATCATGGAGAGAGACACTTCCAGAAGCATCTACCAGCCCCAAAGGCTCTGAGACCAAAGGGAAAACCTAGAGATTTAAAGGAAGGGTCCTGTAGAACCAAAACTTGGACCTCTGAGGAGAAGGCACTGTATGACTTGTGCTGGTGTCTGAGTTCAAAAGAGGGGTCCCTAGGGCTTGAGACCCAGACCTCGGAGGAATGGGTATTGATCAGTGCTGGGTGTCTTTCAATGGTGTATGATGAAAATAGTTCCACAGGTGTTGGGAAAACTATAAACGGGATTCACTTAGTACTATGGGGGAGGATCTGCTGTTGTAGGAGTGAAGAAATCTTTGGTGGGGTAATGCTTTTATGAAGCCTAAAGAATAAACTAGAAGGCAACAGTATCTTTTTCCTTCCCTAGAGTTGTGGTCCATCTTTAAATGCTCCCTCTTGGCAGAACCTTATAGGAAACCACCTGGCAAAGCACATGTGGTTTACAGAGTCCCAGTTCTAGCATCATTAAGGCAGATTGGGAAGAAGGGCTTGGGGTTTGGTTGGAGCTGAGAGGCAGTAACTTAATAACTTGTTCTGGCAAACCGCTAAGAATAAAATGTATAAAAAAATGTTTTTTTTTCAGATCTATTTTGCAGCTAGTGTTTATGTGATTTTAACAGAATGCTTACATTTGCTAAAAGAAAAAATCCTGATTTTGTAAATTATGTGAAATTGTATTAAAAGTTGATATAAGATTCACAAATATTGCTTGCAGTTTAAATCTATTGCATTCATAGTCTCAGTTTGGATAATCTAGATAGTGAATACTGAGTCATGTACATCTGTTCAGTTCCTCAGTTTTGAATAGTAAGAGTGAGAATTCAGATGATGATGGATATGGTTTCTATCAAACAATAGAATCTTAAAAATTTAGCAGAATCTGTTTGGTTCCTGAGTTTGCATAAGATGGATTTGAATCCTGAGATGTACCTGTATTTTATTTCCAAGTACAGATTCAGTAAAAGCAAATGCTTACTGAAAGTAGAAACTGACCTTGAACATTTGCTTTATGTAGACAAGTCAACACATATGTGTACATAATTTTTTTCACATGTTGTAGCAATAGACTTATTATTTGGTTTGATTAAAGCAAAATAAAATTTGATGTTTCTTTAGACTTGTTCAAATGAGGTCCTTTCTGCATTTCTGAATTGCCTGGTAATTTTATAGGATTGAATTTTTATGATTCATATGTATATAAATTTTGGGACACTGGGTTATTCGTAGCACTATAAGTAGTTTCTGGTGACACTTCTACCTGAGATCTTGTCCTTTTGTTGTGTTTTTTTTTTTTTTGTTTGTTT